CGGTGGTCAAAAATTTCGACAGTTTCGGGCGCCAAACCCACGCACTGAATAATGCAATCGTCACAAGCAATCATTGATTAAGTCTCATTACCATTACAAATACAAATACAAAATTCACGATATTTCATCAGTTCTTCTCCAATCAATGTTATATCTGACTGACAATTTTCCATTAAAGTTCGCCAAGATCAACGGAAACAACAGCATTCAAACTAGACGCCATTTTCAATATTGTACATGCGAGGTTCGACTATCGCTTCCGAACATGCTCCGAATATTACCGAATGCTCGAGATTAGCATAACCCATTGTACGAAGGTGCTAACAGCTAACAAGGACAATGTTTGTTAACAAACAATGACAAACGATCATGGGGGAAAGCTAAAACAATAGCGTCATGGCTCCTTCCGTTAGTACCTTCCATGTGTAGACATACACTCACCTGCATATTTCTTTGATACTGCTGACATCCACTATTCGGTAATGGCAATGGTCCATAAACTTCGGCATATACTTATCAAGGAAGACCTTATCACAATGGATTGAATTACCAGCTAAAGGACACATTCCAGGATGCGTATGTTTACGGACAAATGACAAGACCTCATATTCAGCTTGTTCTTGTGAAATCTTGCTTTTCCTGACAGCTTCAGTGAGTCCTGATTCACCATGGTGTTGTATACACCATTCATTCATGTTGTTTATAATCTCATCAGGTTGGTGTATGACAATTGTTGGTCCCTATAAAATCAAATGTCATTTGAACTATTCAATAACACTAGTAGGGACTACAAAATGAGGTATGGCTTTCATATTTTTCAAAGTTAGGAGTGAAGTAAAAAAAAAATGCCATAGCTGGTGAGTATTGGAGATCATCACACCAGGATATAAATAATCTACCAGTATATATTATGGTAACTGTTTGCATCACCAATCATTATGGCCCTAAATGTACAATCTATTTGTTGTCAAGTCTTTACTTCCCATCCAGTCAATATAAAAAGTCTGTTTCAATTGATCACTGACAAGTTTAAAACTGAATAATAACCAGATTTGCTTTAAAAATCAACAGTTCATGACTTTGATCTTGTTGTTTATGTGACATTCCATAAAGGCTCACAAAATGGATGATGTTTTTTTAAAAATAATGTAACAGCCACAATCCATCACTTTATAATTATTCCTTAATTTGGTTTGTTTGAATGAACAATTAGTAAGATGATGCAATTCTACGTTTGATTGAGAAATGGTAAACAAATTTTTAATGCATGCTGTTGCATAGTGATTCGAACAAAGTGTACTTTGTACCTTTAATCACACATAAAACAATCATCTGAAGAATAATAATCAATATTTGGTAAAAAATACCTACAGCTGCCAATGAATAAAGTAATAGATCAGAGGAGCATCGTCAAAAAGAGTATGTTATATTTCTGATTTTCTTCCACCGAATTTTACTTAGGCATGTATACAACTTCTATAATTTCTAATGACGACTGGAAACAACTTGAAGCAAA